TCTGCCCCTAATAAATCTTACAATCTATAAATATTTCAAGCTTTAAATAACTTGCAAACATATGGCAATGGTTAGCAATATTTTCTAGACCAGAATAAGATTGGCCATTTCTGTATAAGGAACGTATTCATTACCCGAATGACAGTTTAAGCTTAGTCATGACAAAACTGTTTTGTAAATATGCACGCGTTTAATTTGCTTTTAATCATCATTTTTCGACGTCCCTGTGGTTGGTCGGAATTCCATTGACAATCTCTTTCCACACTGTTTGGTCCTGCGTTGCTGGCCCCAGATCCCCAATGTCCAACCCTGTGTACCGAGCCCTGGTGTCTGGTAAATTCAATTTTCGTGAGAAGACACTTCAAGAAGGATGCCATAGGAGTAAGGATGAGACGATTTCCCTGGCCGATCGGTGTTAATGTGCAGCAAACTGTAATCGTTTTTGTTTGAGCTTAAGAGAGATTGGTCTTAGTTCTCCGTAAATTGCGTTATGCGTTGCATGGAATCCCCAACTGATGTTCTGGATTTTTCTCAGTAGATTTGTATATGTTCCATCCGATCGTCTTTCAAGACGAGCAGACAATGTCCAATTCATAGTCAGCCTAGAGAGTGGTGAGACAGCGGCTAGTTACGAGCCGGTCGTTAGGGAGTAATGAGCAAGACAGAACAAGAGAGAGATAGAATCGGAGGCAAATAGAATTCTCGCTGGCCGAAAGAAGGATTTGGTCCGTTAGTCTGTCGTGAGAGAAGATAGAAGCTGTAGTTCTCATGTGTCACCTACTTACCCATACCTGACCATGTTAAATGATTACATGATAAAATAACAATTGGGAAGCGTGTTCACCTTTTCATTTATCGTCGTAGCGATATTTTAACCTTCGTTCCCTTGTGAATGTCCAATCAGTTTTTCTTAGTCACTGTGCTCAGTGACGCAAGCGAGTATAAAAAACACAACGTGGGTTTATTTGTCCAATCGGTAAAAGGATAAGCGAGGACCAAGGCTCTATGTTTACACTAATCTTGCTTTCCGTTCACAAGCTTTAAAAAACAAAAGCCATTCACAAAAATGTAATTGTAATACCAGCTATACATTTTTATAGTAAAACTACCAGCTATACATTTTTGTAAAACACTTAACAGCAATGTATTTTCATAGTAAAACAATTACCACCAATACATTTTTGTAAAAAAATAAAAATATATTTACTACTAGCAATACATTTTTGATAAAATAATAGCATACATTGGAAAAAAATTGTTTATACTCCCAAGAAATTTAAATGTCGGTATTAAATGACGCATAAGGATGTTGATATGCCGCTAAACAAACAAACAAGCATTTTCCCAAAATTCATCAGAGAATGAGAGATTAAGCGCTGAAAAACAACATAAAGTTCAAAGAAACTCGAAAACAAAAGTTTTGCTTTTTCAAATTTTATCAGTAGAGTAAAATCCTGGCAGAAAAGAAAACATGCATTGATAAAAAAAAATACTTATCATTTCTTCATCATGGCGTTTCTACTTCGTTGGAATTTGAATTCGCCGACACAAATGGTCACCGTCAACTGTCTTTTCTATTCCCATGACATTAAAGACTTTCAAAAAACAAACACTGTTCGAATAATTTAAGAACAACAACAAAGCAAACCTTGACAAATTCTCTTCTACTTTATCCAGTACATCAAAAAGAAAACTCACCGGAAACAATAACACAAACACCACAATTCGTGCTGTCAAATTCATCAATTTCGGTTCGACAAATTCTTCATCGTTACGCGAAGACAACACGATGCTCACCAGCAGGACAGGAAACTCGTTATTTGATCCTTAAAACGAATGCATTCACTTGCATCAATTTTCAGTAGTTGATACGCAGATGATATTGTGATTGTGACAGACTCATAAAGGAAAATTTAAGAATTCTTAGACAATGTAGCAAAGGACAGCTAGATGAAAGGATTATTGTTATGATGAATTATGTGTTTGATATGAAAGGAAGGAAAGCTGATAGGAAGTAGAGATTACAAACAGAATAAATAATGAAGTATTTAACTCCATCTATGAATAGGCGAATCTGTTTCGTGAGCTGGTGACAAACAATTAATACTATACGTAGTTCAATCCTCAGGAGCAGTCCCAGAGCCACTCATCTTAAACCGTACTATGTTTGCCTCGTTAAAGACTGCACTTACTCGGCTACCATTGTTATACAAACTAAATTCGGTTTACAGCAACATAACTTTGAATACCAGTTCCCGTGCGAACACCGCAGTTAAACAACTTCGAGCCTTGATGGGTGACCGCTTTGGAATACTAGGCGATGTAAGCTTGAATGTGCGGGTGGTGTAATAGACAATGATTCAGAATTCTTAAGCGAAGAGTCGAGATCCAATTCCAGCTGGGTTCGTTATATTCTCTTACGCACAAATAACCTTGGGAATGGTGGGAATCTACTTCCACTCCCCTCAATCTGTTTATTAGTAAGACGTGTTTCATTAAACCATTATTATCTCAAAAAACTTAAATTCTAAAAGTATTTTCAGGTTTTAAAGGGGTTGGTAAGCAGTGAAAAAGAAATCAATCTAATAAATTAAATTCGCAAACGTGGCTCTCCTGAACTATGGTCTTAGACAAAATAAGAAAAAAAAAGCGAGAAGAAAGGACTATTAATCTTAAGACAATAAAATTTATGGTCTTCAAGACAGACAGACCAAGATGGAAGCTACGTTTCGAAAACATCAGAATCAAGTCTTAAATGCGTAGTAAATAAACAGATTTACCTTAAACATTCCTCCCCAGGCAAAGCGATAATGCGAAGAAGACAGAAATGGTTACTAGAAATGAAAGAGAACGAGAAGACTTTAGTTAGAAGAAAGGAGAATAAAAGCAGAGGATTCAGGAGGATGGCGATTTAGTATGCAGTTCAATGTTTGAAGAATGTAGGTGGTAGGGGAGTAATAAATCGGGAGAGAGTTTCAAAGGGGAGAAGTCCGAGGACAGAAATTATTAGAATAGACCTTACAGTTATATCAAGATAATTCAACAATAAAACGATGAGATATATTTTTCAAACTAGTAGTACACTTAAATCCATGCGGTTGAGCTTCAGAGGGTAAAGCTTATTAGAACAACTGCCATGAAAATAATTGTAGAAAAGACAGAGGGGAGCCACGTTACGGCGAAATGATAGTGACTGAAGACAAGATGCCAGATTCTGTCTGATATAATTGCAAGCCATCCTTTACATTTTGTCGAGAAATTCGAGATCTATATCAGGAGCTCTAGACCAGATATGGCAGCATTTCCCTATGCACAGAGGAATTGTAGATCTATAAATGTACAAGATGGTTCTTCTGAGGAGGAAAATTTTCTGACACTGTGGACCAACTTTCTTGATGACGGAAAATGAGACATAGAAATCCGATAGGACATAGCAACAGCGAACGGATCACCTTGGCGTGGTGTAATGGTTAGCAAGCTTGTCTCGCTAGAACCATTACGACTGAGTAGTGAGCTCGATCCTCACTGGGTTCCCCCTACTTTCGGCCTTCAGCCACATCTAAGGTACGTTAAGAAAATCGAACCATATTTTCCACAAGGTATTTTTGATAGTAAGATAGTGAATACTGACCAATTTCCTCACTTACAAAAGTAGCACCTATTATGTTCTCAACGATTGGCACATAGCGAACACTCAAATAAATATCAAAACATTAGGAAAGTGTAAAAATACATTTTATAAAAAATACACCAACAATACATTTTTGTTGTGAAATTACCAGCAATACATTTCTATAGAAATTACGAACAAAACATTTTATAGTAAAATTAAAAACATATTTTATAATATAATTAACAATACATTTTTAGTAAAATTGTCAGTAATATATTTAACAGCAAAACGATCAGCAGTACATTTGATAGCAAAATGACCAACAATACATTTTATAGTAAAATGATCAACAATGAATTTTATCGTAAAATAAAAACAATACATTTTCTAAGCAAAATCTTATATATTTTAAAGTAAAATTGGAGAAGACATGGCATACATTGTCTTTTTTTTTTTAATTTAAAAAAAAAACAATTTCCTATGGTTAATCTCATTTCCTGTAAGAAGAAGCAAGTTTTTTAGATTATTTTGTAAAAGAAATGCAGCTAAGTAATTAAAATTAATTGCTAAATGATGTCATTCTTTTGAAGCAATTATAAATCTTGAATTTTCATATTTAGATTTCGGCATTAAATAATATCTACGGGTTGACATGACGCTAAACAAAAGCAACCAACCAAATTGACGAGTTTCTGTATAGGGATGCTGAGGGCATATTTGCAATCAGAATGAGACAGATTAAATTTCTGGGATACAATGGAGAAGAAGAATCTCTCTCAGATTGTACTTAAGCCAAGATGGACAAGAGAGAAACACCGAGAAAACATTCCCCCAAATTGATAGCCTTCTTCAAACACAGAGATGTTCGGTATTCAACTGATCACAGCGCATTATAAACATTTCAAATACAAACTTTTCTTTAGTTTCTTATTTATTTAAACTATTGGTTATTACTATTATTTAAGCACGAAAGATAAGGCTTTGGATAAATAAAAACGACACAGGAAAATCATCCCAAGAATAAAGAACAAAATTACAAACAAAAAAATAGAGACAGAAAAATCGACATTTTTAGCGCATGGTTAACTAGAATAGACATGGCGTCATTAACTTAAGTATCGTAAAAATGGTTTAAAATTCTCTTCTCAATGTTGTTTTTTTTTTTTCAGTTTATTGCTGACACTAATTTCTTACAAGACCAGAATATAGGATTTGGAACTCTGAAATAACATCGATTTCAGCATCGAACAAGAAATGGGGAATATTGTGAATGGCAGTACACAGAAATAGATTTATCTTTTCAATAAGAAGATCAAATCTTCACAAAAATTCTAATTCAATTTTATGATTTTTAACCAAGAGAAACACTGCTAGCAAACACGGCTTACGTTGAAACACCGGTTCCCGTGTGATCACAGAAGTTAAGCAACGTCAAACCTGGTCATTACCTAGATGGGTGATCGCTTGAGAATACCAGACGATGTAAGCTTGGATGTACGGGTGATGTAATGGATAATAATTCGGAATTGTTAATCGAATAGCCGAGTTTCAATTCCATTTGGGTTCGTTATATTCACTTACGCTCAGATATCCTTGAAAAAAGGTATAGATCTACCATTTCTCCCCAGCTATGGATTAATTAGTAAGACTTGTATCAATAAATCATTATTATCTCCTAAAATAATCTTACAATCTAAAATTATTTTCTGACTTTAAATAACTTGTAAAGGGTTGATAAGCTGTAGATTCGCAAACCGTTATTGCAAGGTGGCTTCTGACTGAACCGAACCATAGTCTTCTATAGTAGATAACGTAAGTCACATATTGTGTTGAAGAAGGAGGAAAATTGTAAGATCTCTTAGACAAGGTAAGAAAAGAAATCGAGAAGAAATGACAATTAGACGTAAGTTTACAGACTAATTTAGGGCTTCAAAGTGTTGATTAGCCGTAGAAAACTAATCAATCAACGCCATAAAACACTTAATCTTTCACCATAACCTAAAGCTCACGGAGTTAAAAATCAAAATCCGATCAGAAGTGCCTTCCAACTCGCAACCCTGTTGCCAAGATACGTCTAAAGAAAACTGTTGAAAATTAAACTTAAGGAAGCAACTGCGAATGAGCTCAACGGGGCCATCGAGAAGACGCGCGTTGCACTATTGGAGCACAAAAGCCAACCTACTCAGGCAAGCTTTGAAGCCAACCAGAAACAATGCACAGAATACAGCTAGACGATGTGCGAATAACTATTGGCTCAAGATGTGCAAGAGCATACAGTTATTATTCGAAACCGGTGACATTTGCAGGATGTATAAAGGAATTAAGAAAGTCATCGGCCCAAACAAATGTAAGACAGCGCCACTGAAATCATGGACCGGAGAGATTATCAAGAACACTAAAAGACTTTTGAGGAGTTGGGTTGGGTGGAACACGACTGGGGACTGTATTCCTGGGAACTGTATTCCAAAAGCAGTATCTTGGACGGCGCGTTATTAAATCACAGCAGTATGGATCCATTTCTGATATTTCTACAATCTTAGGCAGAATGAGCTTTGCAGGAGAGCAATACAAGAACTCACGTGATATCTATTGTTCTGGACACCTAGACATGGCGCAAGACGAGTTGCTAGCTTAGCAACCACTTATATTGGCCAGCTCGATTACGACACAGAATGTCATCCTAATGACTTTCCGACCTTCATGCAGGACTGTGATAGCGTGATAGACTTATGAATGTCCAAGCTAGCTGAACCTGATAATAAGGCTACTGGAAAGTTTGCATTAATCTAATATATAGATCTCAGGCTATAGAGTGCAATGTAATATACGGCTGCTTTTTTTCCTTTATAGTATTTTTCATTTTGACTATGTTTGCATAGATTATTTCTACTGTTCAACTTAAAGGAAAAATATATAGAAATATAGCGTAAGTTTCGTTTGTGACGCGTAAACGTTTGCAATCATTGTGTAAGTGATTCATGGTTTCGATTCAGCAAACTGAGTTTGCTCAGTCTTATGATCTTATCGTATCACTATAGCTCAAGCGTAAATTATAATACGGTCTTTTCGTCTTCGATTACGTGAGGCCGAAAAACTAGACAATCGCAAAATCGTCCGATAAAGAATAACTTTATCAACATACACACCCAGCAAACAATATATTGTGTACTATTCATTAAATCCACGATACTCAGTGGTTCACACGAGACAAAGAAACGTGTCATAGCCTTCCGTACGTTTAGTAGTGCATTATTTTCATTTCAGCTTACTGCGAAAAGTTCGCTGGTACATGTAATACAATTATTCACACAAAATGTCACATCGGCAATGAATTCGTTTAACTCGTAATCACATTTGCACAGCTAACAACTTACTTTTCGCGTTGTTCTCATTCAGTTCACTGGCCGATACACATAGAGTTCAGGAGTTTGCCTATTTTTTGACATAATGTTATAGAAGAACCTGAACTATCTCCCATCGTTTCTACGGAAACGTTTATCACAGATTTGCAGCCGGTGATTTGCGGCATCCAGACCAAATGAAACAAAATTTATAGTGCGATTTTCTTTCCCCTAACTTTTCCTGTTTTGTCTGCTTTCATTTTTCCTGTGCAATCAATATACACTGCGTGCCAAATTATTATCGAGATAACTTTTTTCTAATATTTCAAAAACCGTCCAATCAATTCACACAAAATTTTCACACAATGTTGGCAACTCTGACCTGCGCAATCACTGAAATTTTCGTATTGATCTGCGCAATGTAAACAAACATTAGAAAAAAGTTATCTCGATAATAATTTGGCACGCAGTGTATTCTCTTCATCTTTGAATGTTCTTCAGTTTCTTTTAAATGTTTTAATTAGTTTTTTTTTATTATTATTTATTTTTATGAGTATGAATGAATTTTCATTTAAATTGTTATTCGTTTCTCCAGAATGCTTGGCCGTTTTCTAAAATTTTTTTATCTCTCATTACACTTTCTTCTAATTGGAACACACTTTAGTAACATTGTCATTTTGGTAATATAATTTTTTTCTTTCATTGCACCATTTCCTTCTTCCCATTATTTTTCTTCTCTCCTTTCCTTTCTTCTTCTTCTTATTTTCTTAATATTTTTTCTCTTTCTTATTTTTTTCCGTTGTCGTCTTCTTTTATCTTCTTCTTTTTCTTCTCCTTTTTCTTCTTCTTCAATTTCTTTCTTCTTATTATTTTTTCTACTTCTTTTCTTTTTCTCCTTTTTCTTCTTATTTTTCGTATTTTTCTTTTCTTCTTTTATTTTTCTTCCCTTTCTTATTTTCTTATTCTTTTCCTGTTTGTTTTTTTTTTTCGTCGCCGTCTTCTTTTATAGTCTGATTTTTCTTCACATTATTATTTTTCTCTTACTTCTTCTACACTTTTTCTTTTTCTTCTTATTTTTTCTCTTTCTTTTTTTTTGTCCTTTTCTTCTTATTTTTCTTTTTTTATTTTCTTCTTTTTCTTCTTCTATTTACTCTTTCTTTTTTGTCCTTTTCTTCTTATTTTCTCTTTTTCTTTTCTTCTTTTTCTTCTTCTATTTACTCTTTCTTTTTCTTTTTGTCCTTTTCTTCTTATTTTTCTCTTTTTCTTTTCTTCTTTTATTTTTTCTTCTCTTCCTTAATTTCTTCTTCATTTTATTTCTTTCTCTCCAGCACATTTCCAATAAAAATTTCTTATTTAAGTTAATATTTCTCTTCGTAAAGTTGCTTCTCTTTTTATCTCTTTCTGTAACTGATACATACGAATTCGTTTCGCCATCTCACCTCCCAATTTTCTCACCAACGCTGTTTTCTTTCCAATTTTTTTTTCTTCGTTTCGAAACTGTTCTTTACACTTTTCTTTCTCTCTGTTGATCTACACCTCCAGTTAAAGAAGATCTACGTCAGATACTAACACAAGTGTAACTTCTGCTTCCAATAACTAATTTACTATTCTTGTTAGACATTATATTTATCGTTGTACGGTTGTGAAAATAGAGTCTTTCGCCTCAGGTATCTCTTTATGTCTACGAATAGGTACAGTTAATATTCTGATACTGATATATATATATATATATATATATATATATATATATATTTATATATATATATGAGAAAAATTGCCGTGTGCGTGATATTCGACTAACAACTCTGGATGGCCTTTGTTAAGAGTTGACGTTGTAAAGTGTTTTTGTCCTGTCTAGTTAATCTGGCCATTGAGCGCTTTACCGGGTCGGTAGGTGTTTGCCATTTGGTCTTTCATTCATTCTTTATTCTTTCCCTGTTCGGAATTTTTGGGGTCCAAGCTGTTAGGTCCTCTAGAAAGTTGTCTGCTGGTCACACCAACATAATTGTTTTTGTTTTGTATATACGTATATATATATATATATATATATATATATATATATATATATATATATATAATTAGGAAAAACCTTAAAAATCCATTGTCAATAATAAATTTATTTCGATGAATATAAGTATATTCATCTCATCAGACCGACTCCATTTTATGAAATGGAATCAATCCCAAATACACAGATATAAAAATTCAAAAAAAAAGAAACAGAAAATTAAAAAAATACAAGAGGAAACAATAGCAAAAATAAATAGACCTTGAAAAGTTTACTTTATGAAGAGAGAAGAGAAAGAATGTGTTCATATAACGGGTAAGGGTAGGTAAAGGGATATGAAGGTTAGATTTAAAATAGAGTTACAACAATGTGTCAAATAAAAGTTCACAGATGAAGGAGTTAAGATGCTGTTTGTTTAGATAGCATCATCATCATCATCATCATCATATAATATAATCATCATCTCTTAATATTATTGATAATAATAAAAAATATACTTATACATGTTGACCCAAAAAACGGAAATTTTTGAAGTGCGTATTGCCAGACATGAGCAAGCGGCAACACTGCGAAACAGTGACTTTGAGCAAGTAAACATTTCACCATTTAGAATTCAAGACGAAATTCACAGTATCCCAGCTGAGATGTTGCAGAAGTCAACGAGGAATCTCAACAGCAGATTTCAAGAATGCATTCATACAGGAGGACGCCATCTACAGGACGTAATTTTTAAAAAAAATGAAAATTCCATCATTGTTTCTTAAATGGCATCTTTTAATGTTTTAATTACTATGAATAAAATATTTTTCTTCCATCACTCTTGGTTTTATTGGATTGTTAAAAATTGTTTTTTGGGGTCACCCTATATATATTATAAAACATTAATATATATATACACAAAGTACAAAAGTATACAATAATAACTAATAATAAAAATAATAATAATAATAATAATAATAATAATAATAATAATAATAAGGACCTTGAAATAGAAATCTCGAAAATGTGGCATATGGGAACATCAACAATCCCTGTTGTAGTTGGAGCCCTACGACTGGTTGGAAAAGATTGCAGTAGACTAATTGAAGGGATTCCTGGAAGTCCATGCCTCAAGGAGATACAAAAAATTGTTCTGAAAAGTACAGCCCACACTTTACGAAGGGCTTTATCTATGTAACTTTTTTTTTTTTTTTGTTAGTGGAAAGTGTCATGAAGCCATTTCTAACCTTAGGTCCCTGGGCGAGACCCGGAAAGAAATGTGTAAACGCCAGATATCAAAGGAAATAATAATAATAATAATAATAATAATAATAATAATAATAATAATAATAATAGTTCTGGGGAAAAATATGGGCTTGCCCTAAAGAACACAACGAAGAGGCAGATTGGATTGCGCAAGAGTTAGAACGAATGAAAAATAAACCAGAACAGACATGGGCGGGAATCACAGAAGAAGATGTTAAATGTGCACTGAAAAAAGCACACAACTGGAAATCTCCAGGAATAGATAAAATTCCTAACTTCTGGCTATATTATTTAAATACAGCACACAAAAAACTCGCCAAAGAACTTCAAGAAATGGTTACCGATCCAACTAAAATTCCTGCATGGATGACCAAAGGAGTTACCTTTCTTCTACCCAAAAATAGTGACACAAATATTCCGAAAAACTATAGACCAATTACATGTCTTCCAACAACATACAAACTGTTAACATCTATTTTAACAAAACAGACATATTTCTTCTTGGAAAGAAATGACATACTACCACTTGAACAAAAAGGGTGCAAACGAGGCTGCTACGGATGTAAAGACCAATTACTTATTAATAGGATGATCCTGGAAAACTGCTTCCGTGAAAAAAAAAAAAATCTTAGTATTGCCTGGATAGATTATCGTAAAGCATTCGATAGTGTACCACATTCCTGGATCTTAAAGTCTTTAAGTATGTACAAGGTATCACCCGTTATCATCAATTTCATCAAACAATGTATGTCGATATGGAAAACTACACTTTACCTCAATCATAAAAATGGAACCTATAAGTCTGGCGAAATAAACATCAATAGAGGAATATTTCAAGGTGACTCTTTGTCTCCTTTATTATTTTGCATATCACTTATAGCATTAACCAGCCAACTTAACAAGACAGAATGCGGTTACAAAATAGCTCAAAAGAAAATAAACCATCTATTTTACATGGATGACTTAAAATTGTATGCTAGGAATGACAATGAGCTGGAAGGTCTTCTGCAAACTGTAAAATGCTTCAGTGAAGACATCGGAATGAAATTCAATTTGGATAAATGTGCTAAAGCTACAGTTTTACGAGGATCGCTACAACAAACTTCCTCTATTAGTTTAGACCCTGCTGTAACAATAAAAGATTTAGAACAAGGAGAAGCTTATAAGTACCTAGGTGTAAATGAGAGTGAAGGAATTCACCATAAGAAAATGAAAGAAATAGTGCGTAAAGAGTACTATAGAAGGGTACGACTGGTATTAAAAAACTGAATTGAATTCTCAGAACAGAATTATGGCCATTAATAACCTAGCCATCCCAGTGGTCCAATATAGTTTCAACATCTTGAACTGGACTCTAAATGACATCAGACAAATGGATTCTAAAACAAGAAAGCTTCTTTCTAAGTATAAGATGCATCATCCAAAGGCTGATGTAGACCGTCTATACATACCCCGTAAAGAAGGTGGAAGAGGTCTTATTCAGCTAGAATTGTCATACAAGACAACAACTATTGGCTTACTAACTTACATGGAAACAACAAATGACTGGATGATAAAATTAGTGAAACAACATGAAAACAGAAAGAAAAAATATTCAATAATAAAAGAAGGCAGTAAATACAAACAACATTTACATTTAGTAGATTCTGTAGTAAATCAAAACAGAAGCCAAGAACCAACTATTGCAGCAAAAGATATGAAAAAGAAAGCCAAGGATAAAGCCCTTGAACAGATGAAACAACGCTGGCAAGACAAACCTCTGCATGGCCAATATCCAGAACGTGCAAATAAACCCAATGTTGATAAAGTTAATACTCATCGATGGTTACGAGCATCTGGATTAAAGTCTGAAACTGAAGGCTTTATTCTTGCAGCGCAAGACCAGAGTCTTTTCACTAGGAATTTTCAGGCAAATATCATACATAATAATGTGGATCCAAAATGCAGGTTCTGTGACAAATACCAAGAAACAATAGACCATCTAATCTCAGGATGTTCTATACTTGCCCCAAATGAATATAAAAATCGTCACGATAGAGTGGGGGCAATACTTACACTGGACAATGTGCAAACACTTTGGAAAATGTGTAAGCAAACACTGGTATGAACATCGGCCAGCGCCGGTTACAGAAATAGAAGATGTCACCATTCTATGGGATTATACCATCCACACAGACAGAAAAATTGAAGCAAATAGGCCGGACATTATTGTCAAAAAACCAGAAAGAAAAAACTTGCCTACTAATTGATATGGCTTGTCCAGCGGATTGTAACATAGCAACCAAGGAATTTGAAAAACTATCAAAATACAAAGACCTGGAAATTGAAATAGAAAAAAATGTGGAAATTGAAAACAAGAATAATACCAGTGGTAATAGGTGCACTTGGAATTATAAAAAAATGAACAAAACAACACATTGAAAAGAATCCCTGGAAACCCCAGCTTAAGAGACATACAGAAAATTGTCTTATTAAGTACAGCACACACACTAAGGAGAACTTTGTCTATGTAACGCTAGCAACTTCATCGGAGATAAAAAAAAAAAAAAAAAAAATTAACATGAAATGTGGCCATAACAACACACCACGACCTGCCTTAGGTCTTTCCGCAGACTTGGTAGGTAGTGTGTCCATAGCAGAAATCGAATGATGATGATGATAATAATAATAATAAATATAAAATAAATGAAACAAAAATATATAGATAAAATATATATATATAATAATTATACAGTTTGGAGAGAACTGGAGTCAGCTAAGGAGCACATCTCTTTAGGTCTACACTTCCTTAATGAGATGATGTCCAATAACATCTCACTCAATAGAGCCTCAGTTCTAAGAGGGAATCTGATGTGGGTTCTCCGGATGAGGCGAGTGTTGAGTTGAATGAGAATTTCCGAGCGTAGCATTCAGTCTTATAAGCTGTGGAAGTTAGGGCTTCAAATTCATTGAATAGAGGAAAGATTGTGGATTTTCTGTTGTTCAGCACAGTCTTGCAGAGCCGACAATATCTTTAGAACCAAACTTGCGAGATGCAATAAGTTGTTTCATTCCATCAGCAATTATTAACTTTAATTAAGGACACACTTGTAATCATTAGGAGCAGAGACATCTGTTGCAATCAGACATATCGTTCCGGTCCAGACAGAAGAAGTGATTCCTATGGGCTATAGCGGCTGAGCAAGCAGCTGAGAACCAAGGTGATAAGCGCGATTTAGCTTTGTATTTTTTTTTTGCTGGGATGAAAAGCTCGATGCCGGCTTTTACCCAGGAGGA